TCATTTGGGATCCTGGCGCATTCAAGGCAAGGACTTCTGCTGCTAGGCTACCACGCCACCGGGCCCAAAGTCATGTTTTCTTTCCCTCAACGTATTTCATTCCATGTGGTTATTTTGTCTGTTCTTTTCTATTTATTTATATAGCCATTTACTCAAGCATTAGGTGTTAGTTTATATGCCTGTATTATTTTAATTTTCCTTTTCCAAATTGTTCCAATGTTGGCTGTTAGGAACTTTTTAAATTGATGTCTGTGTGCCATTGAGACACCCTTATCAATTTGTTTTCAGTTTTTTGAGCACTTGCTTTTTGTTTGACAATATATGTTGCTTCAGGTCCACTGTGTGTATCTGTGTGTGTGTGTGTGTGTGTGTGTGTGTGTGTGTGTGTGTGTGTGTGTGTGTCTTTGTGTGTGTATATCCACATACTTTTTCCTGGCACTAAAATCAGCCATTTCTTTGAGAGCTAGTTTACCTTCCCTCTCTCTTCCTTCCTTTATTTTACTCTTCTTTCAACCTGTCTATCCTGTAACTTTAGGCTCTGTGTTAGAGGATTTGTTATGATTCTTATGTGCATTCAAGATAATTAGTGGTCTAATTATCAGCCTTGGGCCGATGTTCCTGGAGTGCGTGTTCTTCATCTTCCTTTCCTTTAGGTATTCTTTCAGTATAACTTCACCTGCGCTTTTTATTCATGGCCTAGCCTTAGCTCTCCTCATCTTGGAGATGTGTGGACTGAGCATCATGGGAAACACCCTGGCTTCAAGGGCAAAAAGAGGACCAGGAGAAAAGGAGCAAGCTAGCTGCGGACCCAAGCTCACTTAGGATTTTTTCTGGAACTTTCCATCAATTTTCCCCTCTTTATTTTGAGACATAGCCACTTCTTGCATCACACTGTTCAGGAGGGCTGGGATGGCCATTATGGAGCTGGGGTTGGAGGAAGGCAGATATAGCCTAACTCTCGCTCTCTGGCCTTACCACCTCCTTCCAGCCCTATAGATGTGGGCATCTCGGGATTCTTCCTCCAGTAGCTCCCATTTGTCTTCTTCCTTGCTATGGACCTCAGCTGCCATCTTTCTTGTTATCTCCAGATTTAGAATCTCTCATCCCAGAGGGTTTTGCTCATAGTATCCGAGGTCCCTGGGCAGCCCTTGTCTTCCCATTGGCTTGTTCCATCTCTATGTTGCGTTCCATCTCTGTGTTGCTTTCCATGGGGGCTTCATGGTGGTGGAGTTGAGCTGTGTTTTCCTACCTGAACCTGTCCCTTACTGCTCCTGACAGTGCTTCTCGTGAAGTCAAATCCAGACCCTCTGCTATGTTAAGAGAGCAGACACTAAGAGTGAAGTGTGAAGCACCTGGAAACATAGGGAAGCGTGCAGGTAACAGGACTGCTTTGATTCAAACATGAGAAACCCAAACTAACAGAAGATGCTGGCATATGAAAAGTGAGTGGAGAAGGCAGGGACATCCAGAACCACCCACGCTGAGCTTGTCCTGCGTGCTGAGTGTGGGAACTGTCACATTTCACTTAGACTTTGAGCAAAATGAAGAAAGTCATTTGGCTTTGGGTTTTTGTGGGTCCTCCGGGCACAAGTCTTTGTCCTCACTGTGGGCTCTCTGATCTCAGGAAATTGTTCATTGTTAAAGGCACTTCGCCAACTTAATTAATTCAAAATTTAGGAATGAAATCTAGAAAGAATTACTTCTACTGTTCTGGTTTTTGAAAATTAGTAGCTTTCAGCTCGTAGAGAAAGTTGGGCATCTTCTCTGCCCTGCCTTCCTTGAACTGAGTGGTTTTCCTTTATTGTACCGTATTGACGAAGCTATCTTGGTAAACCCTGTCCCAGTTCTCCTTCTCCCACACTCCAACTCACCATCTGGACCCCTCCCCTTCCCCACCTTCAGGGACTCATTTGAGTCAAGGAACCCAACTCAAGTAACAGTGATAATGATCTTTTCTTCCTTCTAAATGCTCTGCTTGGGGTGTGTCTGTAATGTGTTCTGCATTAGTGGCCACAGTGGCCCCTGTTACCCGGGAGAACCCCAGTGTGTGACCGGAAATGTGTAATAACAAGCCCTGTTTCTATTAGGAGGTTTTCTATATATAAATAGGTATGATGATAAAGTTTAACTTGTAAGTTAATAACACTAATAGAACGTAGTAAGTATAACATACTTATATAGTATACTACAGTAAAAATTTCATGGATATGGTCTTTTTCTCAACTATCTGATTATACAATAGAACTTAACGATCTATGCATAATTTTTATCTTTTCAGGCCAAGAATTTTCACCCACTTTAAAGAAATACTTTATAACGTCTCTTTGACATATCTGAATTACTAGCGTCTATCACTACTCTGGCACTTTGGGGTCATTAATAAGTAAAATAAGGGTTGCTTGAAATATGCATGTGTGCATATATATTTATGTACATTTGTATATGTATATTTAAAAAGGTAGGTGGAGATAGTTGAAGTTTTGTCCAGGGTTTCACTGGATGCAATTACTGATATTCAGCACCTTTGAACTTATACTGTTAACATTTCCCCTAATTCATCTTTGTTCTTAAAAGTCCGTGTCCCCAGTCCAATGGGTGGAGCAAAGGTACTACACGCAGGCATGCTGCTGACTGCCTCAAAAGCTCTCTGACTAAAAAGGCAGCAAAGACCCATTCATCATTCCTCACTAGATCATTACAGTTAGTGGTGAAGTTCAGCATCGTCTGTTTTTCTTTTCTTTTTATTCCTTTTTCATCTGGTAGAAAATACTCAGAGAAACACAACTATGTGACTGGCTAGTTGTCAAGCTGGGATTTAACCTGGGTCTCTTAACTTACCTCAGTGTCCACAGCTGCTACTTTGAACTGACATTGAAGTTCAGTGTTGGTAGCAAAACCAGAATGTTGATCAGAAAAGAAGAGGAAGTCTGTCCCTGGGTGCTGCCCTTGACCCACCTCAAGCTCTCTACTTTAGTCAGAAGCACACCGCCGTGTGTAGGAGCAAGCATCTGCCCAGCTCCAATTAGCTTTGAAAAGTACTGTAAGGTCATCAGAGACACCATTTCAAGAGTAGAAAGGGAGAATTACTAAGGAAAAGAGCTAGCTAGTTTAAAAATAAGCCAAAGTCTTAAATAGGCATTCTCTAATGATGTCTAACCATTAGGTGGTCAGTGCGCATGTGCAAAGATCTTCATGCTCATCAGTCATCAGAATCATGGGAGAAACATAAATGCCGTCCACAGTAGAAATGATGACACATTCACCATGACTGCTGGAATGGAAAAGCACACAGGACCAGGTGCCAACTGCTGGTGAGGATCTGCAACAGACCTCGCAGTCCCATCTGGCGAGAATGTCACTAGGAACCATTTGGGAAAATGTTTAGCAGTTTTGAGTTCAACTGAACATACACCTGCTAGATGACCCAGCCTTTCCACTCCTGAAAGTGTGACCAACAGCAGTACTTGTGTGTGTGTGTGTGTGTGTGTGTGTGTGTATGTGTGTAAGAAAGTGTGCATTGTAACACGATTCCTAATAATTAAAAACTAGAATGAGTGAATAATGTTAAGGGATGTTCCCCATAAGGGAACTCCAAACAGCAACGAAATTGAGCAAGTTGTTGCTATACGTAACTTCATGACTGAATAGCTCAAGTATTACTTCAGAAAAAAAAAATCTCAAAAGTGTTCATATTGTATTATACTATTAACGTGAAGTTCAAAAAATCAGTAGAACTGATGGCAGGGTAAAGGAGCTCCTAGGACCTAGCAGTTAAGATCCGGCATTCCATGTCTGAGTGCCTGGAATCAAGTCCTAGAGCTGTCCCTAGTTCCATCCTCCTACTGTCCTGATCCCCAGAAGGCAGAAAGTGATGACTCAGTACTTGGGCCTGTGGGAGGCCTAGATTGAGTGCCTGGCTTCTAGCTTCAGTCTGACACAGCTGCAGCTATTCAGGGAGTGAACTAGGAAATGAGTGTTTCTCTTTCTGTCTCTTTTTCTCTACTACTCTCTCTCTTCACTCCCTCTCCTCTCTCCCCTTTCCTACCATTTAAATGAATAATATGAATAAATTGGAGGAACAAAAAGATGCTGTTAGAAGTCAGATTGGCATTAATCTTTTCAGGGGTTGAAGGTGCAGCTAGAAAGGCAAGGTAGCAGTTCATGAGATGCAAGCATCATCCTTGAACTGGGTACTTGCTCAAGATGACTTAATGTATTCAGAATTTGAAAGTTCATCAACCTATCCTCTTAGATGCCCTCTATGTAAATGAAACCTTGTTTAAAATTTATTCTTGTTTATTTGCCAGACGGATAGCGAGCAATCTCCCAACCCCTGGCCCACTTCTCAGATGTCCCCTCCATCTGAAGCTGGGCCAAGCGGAGGCCAGAGGCGCAGAACTCAGTTGGGTCTCCCATAGTGGGGCAGGGACCTGACTACCTGAGCATCCCAGGAAGCTGGCATCCGAAGTGGAGCACAGATCCTATCCCGGGCACTCTGATACGGGATATAGTTGTCCCCTGTAGCATCTTGGCTGCTTCCATGTGTTATACTTCAGTTATTATGTGTTTATAGTATTCACAGACAGAAACACATGTGCATGCTGCTACTGTGATGGCATGAATTGAAATCCACCTAATAATTTGCACGGGTTTAAAATGAGAATTTTGTGACACACTGCTCTACACTGGGAGTCGAAAGTTTCTTCTGGGTTTCCAGCATGGGTTCAGGGTCCCAAGGCCTTGGGTCATCAAGTCTGTCTTGCTGTGAAAATTGCCATCATCCTAGCTCCCCGTTTGACCTTGAGGAATCTAATCCAAGGTCAATTCATCTGTGCCAGGTCACACAGCCAGCTAATGGCAAAGTAAGACAGGTCCCACCACCTCTAAACTTTCAGCTTGTTCTTTTTACTCCATTACTGAATTTCCAAACGACCAATAAGTAACTACCCACAGGTCACTGGTGTAATGTTAACACATCTCCTCCAAACTGTGTGTTTCAGCTTGCCGCCCTTGAGTTCCCCCCAAAGAAACTGTTTGGGAACAAGGATGAACGCGTGATTGCTGAGAGACGAAGTCACTTGGAGGTAACAGAATTTTTTTTCTTTCTCTGCATGTATTGAAAATATACTCTAGTTGGTTGGTAACAAGGATGCCAACTCAACACCAGCGCTTCTGCGCATGTGTGTGAAGGCACTGCTTCTTCAGTGCAGGAGATGGGAACAGCAGATTACACAGCACTGACAGCCACTGATTTGAAGTACAGGTCTCCAGCCCTCTCTGCTCTACCACAACCTTCTTCTAGTTCTCTCTCTCTCTTTTTTTTTTTTTTCCTTAAAGAAAATGTATTTATTCTCAGGGTTAGGAAGCAGGATGTAAGTGAGAACTAAATATTCTCTCTAGACAGATGGTGTGTAATACAGGATGAGGGCACCAAGCTTGCTGAAAAAAAAAAAAAACACTTGGAATTAAGTAACGGAAGATTTGTAACATTGCATCACTGTTACTTTTTCCAGAGACTTTGAGACCCCCCTCCCCTTATCTCACCCAAAAATATGTGCACCTATTTCAGTCTTAGCTAGCTTCCATTTGGCTGGTTTGCCCTTGCTCTTCTAAAGCACTTCCCTATAGAACTCACTGCTCAGGTCAATTGTTGGTTTCCTGATTGCTGCCCTGCCAGTACGCACTGGTGACTCCTTGACCTAGTTTGTGTGTGTTTTCCTGGCACATGGTCAACTACTTGGTAGAAATCTGACATTCCTGGGGTTGCCTGTGTCATGCTGTGGATGAGTGTGTTCTTTGAGAACAATGGGAAGTACAGGGGATGGCCTTAGGTAGGGCTTGGGTATCATCCACTCTCTAGTCCTCGAGAATCTTTGAGGCAGACAAAGGACAATGATGCAAAACTCGATGCTGTAATCTGGTGTCCTAACCGTTCAGTGGGCTTCCAAAGATACCCCATTTTAAGAGGAGAATGATAAGACCTGTGGGGGATTAAATCAAGAAATGCCTTAGAGAGTCCTTTCTAAATTGTGGAATGCTCCATAAAAATTAGGTGTGACACTCTGTCTTGGAGCCTGTCTGTTCAAAGTGACTTCCCATGAGGTCTCTTTAACATGAGGGAACCAGGATTAAGGAAATATTTGAAGCTGGAGGTTCCGGTGAGCCCCAAAGGGAGGGAGACAGGGCTACCTAGGAAATGAAGAAATTGCAGACTTGAAAATCATTGTCCATGGGAAACATTTTAGAGTGTTTAGAGCCTTAGTGTGGAACTCTCAGAAAAAGGGTGTCAGACCATATCCGTGCTTATAGACGTTGGAATTAGATTACATGGTTACACATTTCCTAGGACTACAAAGAGTGAATTTTAAGTGGGTTATTGTAGACTTCTACAGTTTATCCTGTGATGGCATGACCCTAATCCCCAACTAAAAAATCTTCCTTCAAGGAGAATATAATTATTGTAAGGCTTCTTCATCCAATTTTCTCCAAGACTTAATGATTTCTCACACACACTGACATATATATATATATCTATGTATGAGTTGACATATATATATAACATATATAATATATATATAAAACATAATTTATAACATTAACATTGCAATCAGAAGAGGATTTTCTTTACCTAACTGTTGCCCATCTCAGTTATCCAGACTTGTCTTCATTGAAAACTTGGAGAACATGACTTTGAAACTGAATATACATGTTAGTATGAAATTGACTGATCAGCATCCCCAGTTCCTTGGGGCTCTGATTAAGCTGGCATGGTGCCAGCCGTAATGCCACAGATGGTTTGGGTGCAGCCATTACAAGCACCACCTTCGCTGATCCTTGGATTTCCCTCCCAGCTTCCAGAGTCAGGGCGAAGTTTAGAACAAAATTCAGAACACTCTCACATCTCCTGTTTGATCACCTCACCCCTTGTTAGCCCTCAGCAGAGTTTTATATTAGAGTTTTATATTAGGGCCCTAGGGTCCCTTCTGTTGCCACTGGTTGTTAGAGAATGGGATCCCACACCTTGTGGAAATGGGCACTTGCATGTGAAATTAAATGCATTTCCCCTAAAGTTGATTGTTAGATCTTAGAACATTATCTCCTTTTCAAGGAGTGAGCATATTTCACCTTCACTTTAATGGAAAATTTATCTGAGATTTTTATATTAATTTCTCATGACTTTTCTTTTGATCTCCTCACATCACAAGTCACTGCTTGATTTGTGATTTTTTTTCATATGAAAATTAACATAGTTATTTGCCCTAAACTTCCTCTTTGATTTAATGGGACAAAATTTTAATCCCTAATGCTTGCTGGAGATAGTGATAAGTGTTATATAGGATACAAATGTAAGCGAAACATTTCCTCCCCTCTAAGATCATGCGTTTAAATTCCAATGTGACCCTTTTTTTGGAGATGTATATAAACGTACAAACGCATAGAGAGGAGAACGGATAGATACCAGGAGGGTCTGGTGCACCTGCCACTTCACAGGATGGTTGCTCAGAAGGAATTACTTGAAGGGTCATTAAAACCCAGAAATGCACCTTGATGAACCATCTCACCCAGAAAGACCCTGTAAAGCAGATTCAATTGGGTTTTGATCATCGTTGCTATTAAAATGCTTCCAGGATTTTTAGCTTACGTTTGAATTTATCAGCAAAAATATTTTCAAATTACAGACACAGATACCATTTTGGCAAGTTTTCAAAACCTATGTTAAATATTTCAAAACAGTATTTTTAAAAAGATTTGTTTATTTCTTTCAAAGGCAAAGTTCAGAGAGAGGAGCGAGAGAAATATAGATGTCTGCCATCCATTGGCTCCTTCTCCTAATGGCTTTAATGTGCAGGACTGGGCCAACCCAAAGCCAAGAGCCAGGGGCTTCATCCAGGTATCCTACAAGGCTGGCAGAGACCCAAGGTGCCATCTTCCTCTGCTTTCCCAGGCACATCAGCAGGAAGCTGGATTAGATGCAGGGTAGCCAGCATGGTACCTGTACTCCCATGGGATGCCAGCTTTAACCCACTGTGTCACAACCGGGGTTCCAAGACTAATACAATTTTTAAATGAATATGGAAAGAAATTTCTTGAGATGTTTTATAATTTAGTTTTCTTTCCTTGAGCAGCAGAGCATTAATTGTGTGCCTGGCATCCAGTGGTGCAGCTGGTGATAAGGGCGGTAGTGGCATGGAGCCAGGAATCGTAGCATTGGGCATATTACACTGTGCAAAAGCAACAGTAGAATCATGGTGTTCAGTGAAGTTGTCCAAATGTGACCTGCAGTTGGTCCTGGCTTTACCCCTATAAAATCATGTGGTCAATTCTAGTTATAGCTGGAGCCAATTTTTATAGAAATCAGCTCATACTTGTTTTACAAGGTACTTCCATGCTGCCCAGGACTTTGGTTTAAAATGAGCTACAGAATCTTTGAGGGTTTATAACTTCTGAGAATCTCCCTCCTGCAGCCAGTTCAGTGCACTGTCTGTTGTGGGCAGACCCTGCCATCAGGCAGCCGGATTCCTCCTCCTCCTGAAAATGACCACATGTGACATGCTTCCCAGGCTCCAGTCTTCTTGTAGACCTGACTGCTGCCTGGGAAATGAATATTGACTGATGAAATGGTAGAGATAGCACAGAAAAACAGTGTACTTACTCTCTACCTAATGAACAACTTCAAGCAAAAGATGTGCTTTTTTTTTTTTACTGTATTTGAAGCCAGATACCATGTATATTGTATGTATATATGAAATATAAATATATGAGCACCAAACTGAGTTCTAATAAATAACATATGGTACATTGGCAATTGGCTGGAACCATTCAGAGTTGAACCACATGACTCTAGAATTTACCACTTCTGTAGTGTTCAGTTATAAGGGGCCAGTTATTTACATTCCATCAGTCTGCTGGCACTTTTGTACAATGAAGTGACATTAGTAGAAAAGTGAAATTAAAAGACACTAAGTGTGAACAATTTTTAAATTTTATGTAGATTCAACGGATATAAAATTGTAGTGTTAAATTGCACTAAACGTGTTTTGAAACTCAAGCCACTCCTAAGCCTGTTGTGGATCATATTTGTGGCTTCACCACCACTTCTTTAAGACTGCTGTCACTTTCTGACTTAGCTCAAAAGATATATTTATGTCTCACATCTTCCTTGTTATCCTTAAAGGCAGCACAGTTGACATCTAATTAAATTCATAACTCCCCATGATATGCCAGACATTCTTCACCTTCACTGAGTTATTGGAAAATCTGCAAAATCAGCCCCAAATTAATGAGTTTTTTGTTTTGTTTGTGTTCATTGATGAGAGGCGCATTTGGGGTTACTAATTTCAGAGAACATTATTACCTCCTTGGGATCATTTCTTCTAATCATCTTAATAGTCTCTCATTTCAAGGAGAAATTGTAATTAATGAAAACAAGTTAAATCCTTCAAAATCATACAACTTTCCAGAGTAAAAAAAAAAAAAAACCAACCACCTCTGAAAGTAAGAACCAGAGAAACATCATTGGATGTTTTCTTCAAAGTACTGGAGCAGGCACCTGATCTGTAAAGTGAGGACAGTAATGACATTATTATCCTGGAATTGCTAAGAATAAATATGGCCTTGTACCTAGCAAAGAATCTGGTGCAGCAAGAAACCCACAACAACGCAGACTGACCCAAAGGCAGCAGTGGAGACGGTGGCAACAGTGGAACTGCAGTATGAGGGGTGGAGACAATGGGGTTTGTGGTGCGTGTTAGATTCAACCTAAGAGCCAGGGAAATGCAAAGCAGTGCGGAAGTACCGCACCCCTCTTTGCCCCCAACAACCATTAAGTGTGGCAATATTAGTGTCTTAATTTGTCATCTGACAGCAGAAAACACCAACACTGTGTAAACATTCTTACACATGGCGATACCTGGAATATACTAGAAATCTGTTGTTAGAGTACTGTCTTTTCCTGTAACCTATCAGAATGTTATATAAAAAGTGCAAAAGGATTTCTGAAGAATTTAATCATGGTGGCACTGTTATCCAATGTGATGAGGATGAGAGACACGGGATCACTACAAAAAGAGCATAGTTCCTCCAT